ACAATCATACTTGTCAGAATCGGGAAGGATGGAAAGTTTTGACAAGCCATTATTTAGAATATCTCTAAAATTTAAAAAACAATAACTTAATGTAGTTAGTCAATTATTAGTTAGATCAAATCCAGTTTTTGTCAAATCCAAGATCTACTACTTCTTTCTTTTAAGATTAAAATCTTTTCTTTTTTCATTCGTTCTTGGTCGATCGATTCTTCATTCCTTTTTCCTTCAATTTTTCTTTTCTCATCAAGCAAAGATTCATATTTCTTTATTTGCTTCTCTTTTTGATATCATCCTATCCTCCTTTCTCTCAGAATTATTTACAACTTCTTCTAGTCAATTAAAGCGCGTATTCATCTCCATTTTCACCGAGCAACAGATTTCATCCTGATTGCTTGACTACAGTAGTATATGACTCTATGTATACTCTCACAGCATTCGAAAGCAACCTCCCACTCAGATTCTTCCCTTCTCGTTCGAAGAAGTGTATTTCTCAGTTTTAAAGTCTTAGGTAACGTTTACACTGTACCGGAAAGCTTTCCGTAGTAACGTGTATAAAAACCACATATCCGTACCTTTTAGGAACGCTATTTTCAGAGAAATTATTGCAACGGAGAGATGTTGTTTCGCTCAGCTTCTGAAAGTTGAACATTCCATATTGGATAGATAGCAGCACCGCTACGGAAAGCTATCCGGTATAGTGGAAACGTAGCGTAAGTAACTGATAAATTCACTCAACATGCAGTAGAGCAGCATTCAGGGACGTCGCGAAGCCATCAACATGGGGGGGGGGGTGTCATGTTTTGACCAACATTTCCTAGGATTTTGACCAAGTCGTACAAATTCTTCCAGAAAATGTTGTCGACGGGGGGGAGGTCAAAAAAATTTTCCGGACTAACATAAGCATAGTCTAAAAACTATTTCCGGACTAACATAAGCACATTCAAAATTTTTCGACCAAGATGAGCAAGGCTTCCAAATTTTTCACCGCAAACATAACAATAGCTTTAAAATTGTTAAAATTGTGAACCATTTCATAACTTTGAGCAACTTCGACCATCTTTTATACCGAGTTTTACCTTCAATTTTAAGCAAATATCAGTTCCATTTTTGACCAACTTTGACCAACTTTGACCAACGTTTGAATTATTGGGGGGGGGGGGGGTGTTACACCCCCCCCCCTATAGCGACGTCCCTGCCAGCATTTTGATGAAAATAGCGATCGTTAGTATACTTACTCGTATATCACAGATGGTTCAATCACACCTGTCACTAAAAGATGAAGTGGATAGTTTGCAGTTTTTGTATCATCTTTATTTTCCTCTGGCAACTGAAGAACTTCTTCAAAGAATTTAAAATAGAAAAAGAAATGTTATACTAGTGGCGGGAAGTTAGTGGCGGGAAGTTAGTGGCGGGAAGTTTCCGACGAAGGACGTCATGGGCCTTCGCTCGAAACGTCGAATTTCAGGTAGTTGCATCCCTACCAACAAAAGCTTGTTATTATTGACACTGGCACAGACCGTTTGTAATTAATTAGACTAAGTCCTATTTTTCTGTAAGTCTGTGTATGTCCGTATTAGTGCGTGTCTTAATAATTCGATATATTAGTTCTACCTTTCAGTTCATCAGAGACGCTGTATTGTTTTGCCTCGTAAGTAAAAATTTTCACAGATGACACGGGACCATCGTGCATAGAAGACCACTCATTTCTGACCTCTTGAAAATAAAATTTTGAATGGGATTACTATAACACAAGAAACTTTGCATGTAACTGTCACGTTAAGCGTGCCTGATATTGACTGCATCTGCATGCTATTTATTTGTTGCAAACATGTCTTTAAAAAAACTAAGAAATAAAAGTAACCATTCTCCGTTAATGAGAGTTGTTACAGCACATGCATGCAACATTTAAGACAGACACAACAACATATGCTCCCGATGTACACATGCATGGCCTTCTTCGTCATGATTCCTTCTCGTCTTCCCCATGTAGTTATACCACTATCGTCTGTATTCGAAAAGCTCACTCACACTCAAAGAGTGGAGGTTCAATTTGAGCTTCCCTTGAGTGTCAGTGTTGTTTTTGAATAGCTGGAGGGTTAGTCCCGTACCTTACTATGTGTGACTACTCACCCTCCAGCTATTCAAAAACAGCACTGATACTCAAGGGAAGCTCAGATTGAACCTCCACTCTCAGATTGTGAGTATGAGTTAGCTTTTAGAATACAGGCGTATATCTTTAAGGCATTGTCATGTCGTGATGTGTGTAACACTGTAAACTGTAACACTGTAAACTTTGAATATGACTGCCATGTTAAGCATACCTGATATTGACTGCATCTGCGTGAGCACTACAGTATTTATTTGTAAGACTATGCTATATATATTTAACTGCGGGAAGAAAAACGGCCGTGGAGGCGCCAGAAGATGGTTATTTTGATGGAGATTTTGAGTTCGATGTGGACTTTGAAAGCGAGAAAGACCAATTGGAAAACGACACAAATGACGATCAGTACGTAATCAGAAAATACTTATTTACACAATATATTTACTTACGTCGTCAAAAAAATTATAGAAAAATGAAAGTAACCATTTTCCCTTATAATTGTGACATGTAACAAACAACACATGCTCCCAACATACACATGTAGGCAGATGGTCTCAAGTCATGATTCGTACCGTTTTCATTAACAACAACGACTTTGAGAAAACCATTTTGACAAGCAAAGCAACTAATTCGTCTTCCATTGATGTTATCACGGTAAATATCCATCCAAATAACACTGAATGAGAAAGAAAATAAAGTAGATGACAACAAAAGCGAAGCAGCTTCCACCACAACTATCATGTACTCATATTTTATATGACTACCAGTTTCATATTATTCTGACACTGCAATCGACCAACGAAAAATTCGTTGGCTCGAGCGGGATTTGAACTCGAATCTTCGGGTATCTAGACCGCCGCTCTACTCATTGAGCTATCGAGTCAACGGGGATTGGTAGCAACTAACGCTTGTCTTAGAGGGTTAAGTCGTCACGAAAATATTTCGTGCACTTAAATTGGATAAGACTCGCTAGTGCGACTCGCTACCAACCCCGTTGACTCGATAGCTAAATAAGTAGAGCGGCGGTCTAGATACCCGAAGATGCGAGTTCAAATCCTGCTCGAGTCAACGAATTTTTTGTTGGTCGATTGCAGTGTCAGAATAATAATAATCGTATCTCTGAGCTAGGATGGTTCTGAAATTATATGACCACGCTATACCACATTTAAACCTCCTATACCTGCTGGGAAGATTTTGGAATTCTGGGAAACAATCTTCCACCTTTCGTTCAACAAACTGTTGATTCATAGGATCCTGAATAAATGAATACCACTATTTAGTTGATCATTATGCTCAGGCCAAAATCTTTGCGCTAATCTTCAATTGAAGAGGACACAAATCATAAACATAAACTATAAATGGTGTACTGTATAAAAATGTTCACTAACTGAAAATTCCGCAAAATTTGTAATTTGCATGAAGTTTTTTAAAACCATTTTAAAAATGGTTTGCGCACAAAAATGGTAGGTTTGAAACGCGATTTGAATTGATTCATAGGGTGCAAATTAATTTAGAAGGTGTAATTTTATGAACTACAAAAGAACCAGACAATTTGATGTACATCATGTCCTTAAGTCTAACGCGCGATCTCTAAAGCCTGGTTCACACTGGCAAATGTGATCGAATGAATGACATGCAAAAGAATTGTTGACTGCTGAAAAACGACTCTATACTTTTGTGTGCGAGGTCACTCATTTCAGTCATTTGCATCCGTCAGAAACACAAAATCGCCGACAAAATTGCTGCTGTGAACCAGGCTACTAGAAGCCCCAAACTACCCATACTAACAAAACGTTCTCACACATTTTGCGCAATTTAGTGGAGATTTTAGAACTTTGCACTTTTTGATATACCCTCTAATATATTCATTATAAGGCGCTGAAAGTACCAAAGATCTTAAAAATTTTCTCTGGTAAATATCTTGACGGAGGTACCCGTCATCAAATTATTCTGAAAATATTAGTACTCAATAAAATTAATACTCCTTACTTTTGCAAACATATGTATCTTTTCATCACCACCACTTAAAAGGAATACAGTGTGATCTTCTAGTTCGTTGTCAATTGATCTTAAACTAAATATTTAACATAACTTCCAGAATTTGTTTGAGTGCACACAAAGCAGGATCAAGGCTGACAATGATTTAAAAGTTAGTTAGAGCGCTGCAATAAATGTATAAAAATTCTATAATAAATGTATAAAAATTCCATAATAAATGTATAAAAATTATATAATAAATGTATAAAAATTATATAATAAATGTATAAAAATTCCATAATAAATGTATAAAAATTCTATAATAAATGTATAAAAATTCCATAATAAATGTATAAAAATTCCATAATAAATGTATAAAAATTCCATAATAAATGTATATAAATTCCATAATAAATGTATAAAAATTCCATAATAAATGTATAAAAATTCCATAATAAATGTATAAAAATTCCTTCAAACATCATTAATAATTCATAAGCTTATTGGCAAATCATGTCAACCATAATATGTCACGTGCAGTGGCTTTAAACCTGATAAAACACTCCTAATTAGTATTCTTTATATAAAGAATACTAATGAGGCACTATCTATTGTTGTCGTGTCCTCATTAGTATTTTTTATATAAAGAATACTAATAAGGCGGTATATCTCTTGAATTTGTAGTCGTGTTTGAAGCCGTTTAATAAACTCGCAGGTCGTGTTTTATTAGGTCTAAAGCCACTCGCGCTGCGCGCTCGTGTCTTTAAACCTAATAAAACACTCCTGCTCGTTTATTAAACAGTACATAATAAATGTATAAAAATTCCACTCAAAATTTCCACCTACAAATCCCTTAGTTTTTCAAGTGAGATGCCCAAAATCCTGATATTTGACAATGATTTAACTATATCATAAACTGAATGACATTGTCAGCCTCAAGTTCCAACGTAAAGCCCTGGGCAAACTACTGTAGGAAACATTGTTGTAGAAATATCTGTGATTCTCGATATTTCCTCAAATGTTTCCCTGTTTGTCCACCCGTGGAAACATTGTTGCAGAAACAAAATATGCTTCCCAAAAAGAAATAATGTTTCCTAACAAATTCAGAAACATTTGATGTTTCCCTATGTTTCTCACTAATGTTTCCCCACTCTGGTAAACATGGTGATACATTGGTAGGAAACAATGTTTCCACAACAAGTTTCCTAGTTTTTTTGTTTTTGTTTTTTTTATTTAAAATTTATTATTTGATGTTTATCCCAAAAGCAAACTGCTTATCGAGGGGCTTACATCTATACATATATAACATTTTACAGTCAAACCGGATGTTCTCTTGCGAGCAACATTGCAATATTGTTCCACAATATTGCAATTTTGATAGGCAGATTGCTCTGAGCAATTTGCAACCGACGCGAACAAATTGCAAGTTGGAAATTCACAAAAGATTTGTAAACAAACCCTCTGATTGGATTATAAGAAAGAGGGAAGCACCAATCCAGTTGCTCAGACTATTTGATTGGCTTCCCTAGCTCTTTCTTATAATCCAATCAGAGGGTTTGTTTACAAATCTTTTGTGAATTTCCAACTTGCAATTTGTTCGCGTCGGTTGCAATTTGCTCAGAGCAACCTGCCTATCAAAATTGCAATATTGTGGGGCAATATTGCAATGCTGCACGCAAGAGAACATCCGGTTTGACTGTAACACACAACACACAAATGGTACACACACCCAGACAAAATAAGATATTAATATAGAAATATTAAACATCAAAGGCGGATGCTGCAAAACGACATGTGTTTAAAATAAATTGTTGAACTATTGAAAACAATACACAATTTTCTTCATAACTCAAAATTCAGATCCATTTACAGTCAATTTCAGCTGACTTTTCACCGTAAGATTCCGAACTTTGTTCCGAACTTCGCAAATTCGTTGCCAAGTTCAAAAGTTCATAATGAAATTCACAAACAGGTTTGTAAACAAAGCCTCTGATTGGCTATTAAATCAAACCAGCCAATCAAATGCCCAGTTTACAAACCCGTTTGTGAATTTCATTATGAACTTTTGAACTTGGCAACGAATTTGCGAAGTTCGGAACAAAGTTCGGAACATTTGAGTGAAAAGTCCGCTGAAATTGACTGTAAAACACAGTTTAACTTTACAGTGTCGCTGCACCGCAACCACGATTGACCAAAAAGCTGTGCAGCAGAGGTAAGCAAAGCCGCACGCTGAGTAGCATAACGGGGACATTCAAGTAGGTAATGTTTTACAGTTTCTTTTCCTTATTTACATGCACAAATAGGACAAACTGCACAATTAATAAAAAATAAATAATCATTAAGAGCACAACAACCTAAACGTAATCTAGCATGTAAAATAGAAGCTCGTCTGCTTAGTGAGGAATCAAAGAAACGGTTGTACTTTAAAGGATGCAATAAATTATTTAATGTATGTTTAAAGACAAATAATGAGTCTAACTGTCTTATATCTAAAGACAGGTTATTCCATAAATTTATACCTGAAGGAAAGAAAGATGTTTTAAACATTTCCGTTCTACACTAAAAATTTGAAAATTCAGTAGCTGATCTCAAACGAATATTCGATCTCTTACCTACTCTCAATGGCACCAAATCACTAATATAAGCTGGAGTCATTCTATTTACAGACTTATAGAAGAATATTATTTTATGAATTTTTCTTCTGGTTTTCAGCTTTACCCAGGCTAGTTCCTCACGTAATTTCCGAGCACTGGTGCCTTTAATTGCACCTGTAATAATTTTAGCAGCATCGTATTGAACGCTTTCGAGTAAATCACTATTTCCTGTTGTACAATTATCCCAAACAATATCAGCATATTCCATTTGTGGCCGTATCAAACTTGTATACAAACATCTAAGAATAGACCTATCTAGATGGAATTTTAATGATTTCATCACATTTAATCGTTTATAGAGGCTTTTTCATAAATTTCCAACACACGCTTATTCCAAGACATTTTGTTTTGAAATGTAAGACCCAGATGGGTATGAGAACTAACTTCTTCAATATCCACACCTCTCAATGTAAGTTCCGGATGATCTATTTTATCTCTTTTCAATGAAAACATGGATCTAGTTTTGAGGGGTTCATAGTAACCAACCACTTATCTGAGTAATCTGACCACTCAGAAATCTTAGCTAAATCGTTATTAAGATTTTCAGCTGACTCAACAGGATCATCTACGACCTCAAATAGAGTGGTATCATCAGCATAAACAAAAGGCTTTGATTCAAGATTATCTGTAATATCATTTACATATATTAAGAACAAAAGTGGCCCTAGTACTGAACCTTGAGGTACACCCGAATATAATTTTTTCCATTCCGATGATTGACCGTCGAGAACGACACGTTGCATTCTATCCTGCAAATACTGTAGCTTTCAAACCAATGCAGTAAAGAACCACAGTCCACAAATACCAAGCGATTCCAGTTTTTTTAACAATCCGCGATGCCACACACGGTCAAACGCCTTACTTATATTTAAATACACAGCTCTTACTTCCTTTCCTTGCTCAAAGGCGAGATAAATCTGACGAACTATATACAACAATTGATTTACTGTTGAGTCTCCAGGTCTGAATCCAGATTGAAAACGATAAAGAAAACCGATTTCTATCAAGTAGTCATATAATGTAATGTTGTTTTTTTTTTGTTTGTTTTTTATATATACATATATACATATTATTAGGGACCCTGTAAATGGAGCATTAAGCTCTGTAGGGTTAACCTGTCATTTATGACTAAGTTTGTAAAAAAAAATATATATATAGTCTTTTAAAGGCAACTTTTTCACATAATTTTCACATAAGTGTCGATTTTCTTTTTTATATAAAGGAATAACATTGGCCAATTTCCATTGCGAAGGGTATTTTCCTAACACAAATGACCGATTTATAATCATTTATTAGTGTAGTAAAAGATGGACACAAGCCTTCTGCGCACAGTTTAATTATTCTATTTCCAAAACCATCACATCCACTTGCCTAAGTAACATCAACATTTTGCATTAATCTGAAAATTTCTTCCTCTTCCACTGAAATAGTAAAAAACTCCCGCGCAGAAGGATGTAAATGTACGAATGGCGGCAAAGTGTCCGCCCCAGGGAGCCGACCCTGCGCTACAAAATAGTCATTAAAAATGCTCGCCTTTTCCCCAGAGTCAACCACCGGAACATCATTTTCTATTATTGTTGGCACTAGGGAAACATTAGTTGACCCCCAAAGACTTTTAGTAATAGACCACCACCTTTTAGAATTTATGTTAGGATTGCTTAAATCTTTATTTAACTTATAATAAAATTGCTTAAATCTTTATTTAACTTATAATAAAATTGTTTTGCGGACCTAATTAAGTTCGTTGTAAAATTACGTTGCCTTCTGTAAGAATCCCAAGAATAATCTGATCGCCTAATATTATGAATATGTAATAACCTATCATGTTTACGAATAGCCCGGCGAACCTCATTATTCATCCACGGTTTATCCCTCGGCCATATGACAATAGATTTTAATGGTATATAGCTTTTGGCAACATCATAAACCGTTTTGAGCTATATCTCATAAATATAGTCAATATCAAATACAGTGTCGAAAAGCGATCCCCAATCATTCAAGAGTAATGCATCATTTAAAGCAGAAGTATTTACATTACTAAAATCCCAAATCTCTCTTTTAAAACATTTTTTTTTAGAAATACCAATCTTCATTTGAGCAAAGATCAGCGAGTGGTCACACGTAGAAGGAGGACTACGAGTTCCTGTTTTATAAAAAAAATTTGGACAATTTGTAATCAAAACATCTAAAATTGCTGCTTGATGCCTGGTAATTCTTGTTGGCTCATTAATCAATTGTGTCAAATTATTACCTATTAAAAAACTATTAAATTTTAATCCTGCAGTAGTACTCTCATGAGGATTTGTATTATCATAATGTGAATTCAAGTCCCCTAGAATGACCAAATTATATTTTCTCGGTAACAATCGTATATTGTCAAGAGCAAGCTGAAAATTATCATAGAAATTTATCAAAGAAGCACGATTTGCCCAGGGCTTAACTGTTTTGTGTGCACTCAGGTGATATGGGAATTAAGTATATTCTAAAATTCTTATCAACTACATGTACAGTACAGTACTGTATGGTTGTTATAAAAAATTAAAAGGTTTTCAATTTATGGTTGTGTACTACTGGGGTTAAAATAATTGCTATTAGGTATTATGTAATATACTGTATATACCATCACTGTATATAATTACTATTGTATACATGTATTACTTATTAATAATTATTATTATAAAATAATTAAATGTTATTAAAATAATTATACTTACTTGGTGTGGGTAAGCTGAAATGGTACAAAATCCAATTCAATCGTCTGGCAGGTGTCTAAAACATTTTCAATTCAAAAAACAACTTAATTATATACCTCTATAAATGACTAAATATGTGCAACATATTGGTAACATATTGCGTTGTGCTCGCCTGCAACGGATTCAAGCTTTGTGTCAGATTCGGTTCCTTTACCACAATAAATGTTGAGATATGGTTTCTGCAAATGTGTGTGACCATCCTAACAGGAAAGAAAATATGGGAATATTTCAAAATTATGTTGAAAAAGCCTGCTATTGATCTGATTGCTGTACGTTCAATCTCCACTCTCCATAATATGCAAATATCTTCACAGTTTCACAATTATTTATCTAATTAGATTGCCTTTTATTTCACAAAAGCATGCAGCTACAGTAATCTAATCAACCCTTTAGGTGGCCCTGATGGCCCTTACTTTTGTATTTCCCATATCTCTCTTGCTCTTTCAGATTTAACTTGTAGAGCTTAGCTTTACTTGACTCTTTCATTTTCACACGCCCCCCCACGGCGGAAATCAGCTTCGGTTGATGGGGTCAGCGTGTATAAATAAAGTTTCTATCTATCTATCTTTTTTAATATTTTAACAATTTTACTTGTCATTAAGCTAGGAGAGTGCTACCACTCAATGGGTTAACAACATGGGTAAAAGGATGTGTCAAGCAGATTGAAATTCCATTGACTAATGGAAAGCAATGGGGAACTAGACAACTTCCTGGCTATACATAGCTTAGTGAATCGTTCACAACTTGAAGTGCATGATTAGTAAAAACAAGACCATTAAACATGCCATAATTATAAGTAATAGCATAGAAAGAGGCGAATTAGCTATTAAAACCTCCCGCCCGATGAGGGTCGTTTAGTAAAATTCCCTTGGGCGCCGCTCGATGAGGGTCATTTAGTTCGGCCCTCGGGAATTTTACTAAATGACCCGAATTGATTGCGGGTATTCCCGTTGTTCTCGCAGGGCCATTAAAAACCAATTAACAATAAATAATGGTATAAATTAAATGGTATAATTGTTTTCCATGTCTTTGTTTAGTTTTGGCGATTTCATATATATTCATTTTTTCTAACCGTACCCGCTTTGACGTCGTTTCGGGTAGGATTAGAACTAATTCTACCTGACATGACGTAAAAGCGGGTAGGATTAGAAAAAAATGAATATAATGAGGTGTATTAGTTATTAATTGCCCTGCGAGAACAAAGGGAATACCCGCAATCATGATATTATTACTGTAATTACCTTTATATAGGTCACACCAACATGCAAACCACTGAATGAGTTAAATGCATCAATAGAAACAATATCTGCACCTAAATACAGTAGTTAAAAATAACAATCAAACATGTCACACATTGTGGATGAAAGACATTGTGGAAAACATGAATATCGGACAGTGATCAGATATTGGAAAGTGAACTGGACATCACACATGGCCTAGCTTCTCCCAAAACTCTGATAACTCTCTATCATGGAAATGATAGAGTGTTAAAATGTCAAACCAGATCTGTTAAGACACCGCTACCGGCCTGCCACAATTTTGGTAAAAGAAATATTCATAATTAGTGGTTGTAGTGACTTGGCAAAATTTGGCTTGATAACACAGCAAAATCCACTTACTCTCCCTCCCCCCGCCCCATTCAAAGAGGTCTAGTGCCACCCCTGATGTACTGTAGTTGATCCACTACTGGTATCACAATAATCACAGTGATATGTTAATTATCTGGCCTGTGTTTTGTACGTGTATCCCCATGCATACACTCATATCACTAGGAATATGCAGGTTATCTCCAATCCTAACCCTACCACGGGGTGGGGCAGAAGATATTTGGAGGGCCATGAAAAAATGATGGACTACTAAGGGGCTAGCCTGTACCAGACCTTGAATGACACACTAGGCATTCCATAGAAAGCTTTCAGCCTGGACAGAGTTTCAGCCTGGTTTTTCCAAGCTGACATTTTAACTTGGCGGCCCATGCAGCCTAAGGATAAAATCCTAAGAACTTTCAGCCCGGGATGAGGTTCAGCCTGGTTAAAGCTACCTGGGCTGAAAATCATCATCATTATTCATGTAATCAACAGGAAACAAAATTTACGTGGCTTTATTTCTGTCTGTTCTATTTTTAAATGCAACCACAGTATTTTGAAACTTGATCGTTTGAGCAATGGATGAGATTCCGAGTTTGAGCCAAAATTTTAACTCAGCCGGGCAGAAAATTCTTCATGTAATCAGGTCCTGGGGCAGTACTACTAAATACTGGCCGGAGCGCCCGGGGATGCCTGAGGATGCCCGGGAGCGTGTGAGAACGTCCAGTGATATACAAGATGGTACAAAATCAGTGCACAATCCTTTTTGAGTCTCTATGAGGCATTATATTAATGAAAAATAATACTAAAAGTGATTTTCAACCAGCCTAGCAACAAACGGTGAAGAGAGGTCGCCCACACAAGATGCTGCGCGAAACATGAGATTATATTTATTATAAATGTAAATATTTGCTGTTATTAAAATAAAAATTTAAGACTAATTAAAAAAATTTTTGTTTTAACATATCAACTGCTGAGAACAAGTCAATTGTCGTTTGTCATTAAGATTAAGCCAAATAAAAAAAATTACTTGGTTAGCGTCATAACTCATAAACTCGCAGTTGATATATTAATTAAAAGACTATTATTAATAAAACAAAACTAGTCTTAAATTTATTTTAACTTTAGTTTAATTTAATAACAGCAAATATTTAGATTTCTAATAAATATAAATATAATCTCATGTTTTGCACAACTTCCTGCGTGGGCGACCGCGCTTCGCCACTAAATGTTGCTAGGCTGGTTGAAAATCACTTTTAATATTATTTTTCATTAATATAATGCCTCATAAATGTATCCATCAGTAAGTAAATGTATCATCAGTGTGCACCTCTCTATCTTGTCAATCTTTTAAAAGTAAGAAAGACATCGTGCTATAGTCTAACGAAGGCACAATTGCTTGAAGACTACAGTACAAAAACAAAGAAAACACTCTGCAACCACGGATTTGTAACCTCCGCTCCAAAAATCTGGAATGAATTACCTATGTATATAAGAAATCTGCATAACTTTAGTATTTTCAAGAAATTATTTAAGACTTATTATTTTGAAAAAGCCTTTAATGTAAATACTTCATAAAATGTAAAACAATAGATACTCTGTGTAACATATAATCTTCTTTATATTTTTAGTTAGTAACCATTCAGCATAGAATAATTTTAGTGTAATTATGTTTTGTGATGTGCATTTGATCATGTACTATAACATGTTAATTTGCTCAATATAAATATTAAATATTATTATTATCATAGAGACTCAAAAAGGATTGTGCACTGATTTATACTATCTTGTGTATCCCCGGGCGTTCTCACACTCCCCCGGGCATCCTCGGGCGATCCCAGGCGCTCTGGGCAGTATCAGACATTCCAACTCTACGGATTTTACCGGGAGTCTCCCGAAAATTCATGTAATCTCCTGGTCTCCCGATTTTTATCAAATTCTCCTGATTTTTCAGAATATTCAGGAAATATCGTAAAAAATCATAAATATACTGTTTTTAGCACCATAATAGTCTGTCTTGACCTTTTTATGAAGTTACTTTATGGCAATTTATAGGATTACTTATAACAACATACTCCCAAAATGCAGGAAACGCCAGGGTGCATTCCGTGTAAACTTCACGCCGAAGATAATCTGAGGTAGTATTGCCGTGCGCCAAGTGAGGTCAACTTGTGCGTCGGCTGATCGTGGGCACCGTGATTTTTCATTAATTAATAGTTAAGTTTTTCAAAATTAAAACTTGCTAAAAAGGCGTGTAATTGATGAATAAGATGTTTTGCTGATGAGCAATGATGAGTGTTGTTACTATTGTATCACAAGTTATATACCCACCATTTAGTAATATTACCCTGACCAGGAACACAAGTTTATTGAATCCCTAAAGTATTATAGAGGCCAATCCAATCACCGGGCGATTATTAATACTCAAAGTCTGGCTTAAACATTTGATGCTGCGCCAACCACCAAAACTCAAAACTTGTGCGCCAACCTCGATGTGATTGTGCGCCAACAATTCAAAACTCACGCCGAAGATCTTCCACAAAACGTGCATGGAATGCACTCTGGAGGAAACGCCATTTCAGAAGACTTAATTTTTATTATTTTTTCCCAAAAGAACTAGACTTCAATTCATAGAACAGTCTCCCTAAATTTTACCTCCAGTAGTTGGAATGTCTGCAGTTGGAATGTCCGCACAGGCGGCCCAATCTCTGAACGTCCTATATATTTTGAATATTTAACCGTTATAATATTTTAAAATAACAAAATAATTCAAAAAATATTAACAATATATGTAAAAAATATATTTCACTTGTTAATAGAATCCATTTGTTGTGTTTCTGAGTCTAGTTGATGCGATTGCTTTACGTTTTCGTCGTTCTTGAACGGTCATCAGTACTATGGCACTGGACGACATGGCCGTATAGGACATAAATAACTACAAGGCTAGCCACTTATCTGATATACTCTCCGACATCGATATCCGCCTCCAATATCTCGCCTCAGAATCGTCGCAGAGCAATACATTTCACATCGACTAATAGCACGAACGTTCCTCTTTCGAAAGAACTTGGTTTCTTCACCATTGCGGCAATTCCTGCGACACACGACGAACTTTGTTTGTCAAAAGTCCAAATTTCCATTTTCGACAGAACCGCTAGGCGCTAACCCCATGATCGTCGCCACGAGAGCTGCTCAGCAACCTAGCCTCCTCGTTTGAAAACATTCCATAAGGGGGGGGGAGGAGCTGGACTGGAATGAGGGGGCTTTCAAAGCAACACGATAAAACACACGATATAAATGTTTAATACTTGTTTATTGTCGAATACAGCATGATAAAGTAATAATTTATATCGTGTGTTTTATCGTGTTGCCTTGAAAGCCCCCTCATTCCAGTCCAGCTCCTCCCCCCCTGATGGAATGTTTTCAAACGAGGAGGCTAGGTTGCTGAGCAGCTCTCGTGGCGACGATCATGGGGTTAGCGGTTCTGTCGAAAATGGAAATTTGGACTTTTGACAAACAAAGTTTGTCGTGTGTCGCAGGAATTGCTGCAATGGTGAAGAAACCAAGTTCTTTCGAAAGAGGAACGTTCGTGCTATTAGACGATGTGAAATGTATTGCTCTGCGACGATTCTGAGGCGAGATATTGGACTCGATGTCGGAGAGTATATCAGATAAGTGGCTAGCCTTGTAGTTATTTATGTCCTATACGGCCATGTCGTTCAGTGCCAGTACTGACGACCGTTCAAGTACGACGAAAACGTAAAGCAATCGCATCAACTAGACTCAGAAACACAACAAATGGATTCTATTAACAAGTGAGATATATTTTTTACGTATATTGTTAATATTTTTTGAATTATTTTGTTATTTTAAAATATTATAACGGTTAAATATTCAAAATATATAGGACGTTCAGAGATTGGGCCGCCTGTGGGCTATTTAATAAAGATTTAAAGGTAGGTGTAGAATACTAGAATTTGGAAAAAATCTGAATTTCGACCGAAAAAATCCAAGAAAATTTTGACGATTCTTGACCTTTTTGCTGGCTTCCGAGCTATCAGCTATGCCTTTGACTCTGTTTTGCTGTGGCTTTGCTACACAGGATAAACTGTATATGAACAACTTCAGTATTTGCCAATAATTTCAACAGAAAGCCATTTTTGAAACACTTCCTATACAAATTTGACAAATAATGAAAAAATATTGAAATAACGAAAATTTCATGTGGCTGCCAATATTAGGGATGGGCCATTATTTTTTCGGAAGGGGGGGGGGATGGTGTTGGTGTTGTTGTCATTGCAAACAATTTTTTTGCATCAGCTTCCTTCAGCAAACAATTTTTTTGTCCATCCGATTGCTGTGGATTTCATTATAAATATATATATATATATATATATATATATATATATATATATATATATATATATATATATATATATATATATATATATATATATATATATATATGAAGATCGGAGGTTTCTGATCGAAACGTCTTGTAAAAAATTTTTTATAAACGTGATTACGTTTTTTACATAGCTAGTGACAAGAAACTTTTAATCTTTTAATATAATATGAATCCTAGCTGCAATTTTAGCATTTTTCGTCATATATATATATATATATATATATATATATATATATATATATATATATATATATATATATATATAATTAATTAAAAATCTCCGGATTGAAATATACTTTTATTGAGCTTTCAACTCGGTACTTCGAGCCTTCTTCAGAATACTGAGATTAAAATTACATATGTACATTACTTAATTAAAGTTTTGCGGTGTTGCTACGTTCCTATATACGTTGAGACCGTCTAATTGGCTGTTCCGCGGTTGATCTGATTTCATTGGTGGTTGAAGAATGCGTTGTCACGGTTGAATGAATTTGGTTGTTAGGGATGGCGTCATTGGAATGTTTGGATTGTTGTGTTGCGGATGTTGAAGGAAGTGTTATTTGGAAGTTAGTATTAGTCATAGTATCGTTGTTATTAGTAGGACATTTACGTGTTGCTTTAAGTTGTAAGTAAACAGTGGGAATTTCAACGTGTCGGTTAATTGTATTAGTAGTCATTGCCCGGCAAAATTTTGATTGTGGCCATTTTGAATTGTTTAATTTTCCCAGGCGATGACTACTACGATTAGCATTCCTCGCGGGCATCAAGCCTTGTGACGTCATTATGCATAAGGTCTATTGGTAAGTCAAGGTGAACAGATTTACTGTGTCAACGACAAAGATATTTACTCTCATGGAACAGATTTAGACAGTGTAGTCAAAATGCTTGTGATGTTAAAATGTATCGTGGGAACTAACTGCTATATTTTGACAATTTCATATAGGGTTGCGTCTATAAATATAAGAACCGGGGGGATAGGTGGTCGTCCTATAGCTACTGTATATCAAGTTAAAGCTGTTTTTGAACATTTTGAATTTGAGACCATAAAATCTGATTGTCAGTTTTTAACCGTATAGCAAAATAAATCGGTAATAATTCCATATCCAGAATTTCCCCAAGACGACCTAAATCTAATCCTAAACTTGATCCTAACTCTAATACTAACCATATCTAGTTAGGGGTTAGTATTAGGGCCTAACTAGATTTTGGGTTAGTATTAAGGGAAGGGTCATGTTTAGGATTAGATAAAGGATTATACTCATGTATTCTGGACATGGAATTATTACGCAATAATCTTAAGCTTGTTCTTTGTTTCCAGTTACATTGAGTTATCGTCACATTTTGGCCAAAACGCGGTCTCATTTAAACTTGCGACAGCCTTTGTGCTTAATGCTATTATCAAGAATGCTCAGATGATTCATCAAAGTCAAAACGAGAACGAAGCTAAAGGTAATAAAATAATTGTATCGTACTGAGAAGTTTCAGTTATTACTTTTGGAAAGAAGTCAGCCCCGTCCCAGGCGCTTTGATGTTATAAGCGGTTCCGTGACACACACACGGGAATTGAGGTGTGTGTCCTCCCGCGCGCGCGCGCGTCACGCAACATCAAAGCGCCTGGGTACGAGGCTGGAAAGAAGTAGTATACGTTTCAGTGCATGCACCTGAGTGGGTTATTTCTGTGTTTATATGTTAAATTAAGTTAATGGCCGTATGCATGCATATGAAAATTTTAGTTTTAGTTTTAATTACCGATTAAATTTTAGTTCAATTTTCTATTGGTTTTTGTATAATACTAATAAGATTTGTTTTCACTTTAATATATTTTATAGTTGAGCATTTAATTGGCATGTTGTACTCCGATGTCTCTGAACGAAATGTTGGGAAATCACTGACTTTAGAAATACTTGCAGAGGCGCAAGGAATTGTTGGAGCTGGGTACCCTCTTCATTGTTCTTGTGGTGACCAAACAATAAGCTGTGTTTCAATGTATGTTATCAGTTGTCACTTATCGCATACAGTGTTAGTTCAAGGGCTATCAAATTATTAAATTACAGTCATTTTCTCTTGTAGCAAGATGTTGATGTCCGCGTTAGCAAGCACTAGTCTTGTTTGTCTTGTTGATGATCCAAACATTAACGCCACCTTTAGTGAACTTTTTACTCCAAGTGCATGGTGGGTTAGCACAAGGATCATCGAGAACGGGGCTAGCAGTTCCACGTGGCAGTATCTTTGTGGGCACAAACCTTCGGGAAAGTGAAAGGTACCGTATACGGTAACATTTACCGGCGTAACAATATATAGTATAACTAGGATACGTTATATGTTAGACGTGATAGCTGCTACATATATTGATCTCTTGAATGAACAATTATTTTTCTCTTGTATACCCACGATATAGGCCTACGGACGATGTATCCGAAACGATTACGAGAAGGACAGAAACTTTTCTTTCCAGGATGAGAAATTGTTAAATGAAAATTTACAGAGTCTGGTTACTGAAAACAAGGTATAAATTTCAATCCGACATTACGGACATAAGAAATTTACTACTTCATATATGAGATCCGTCATGTCATGTTCAACGATGTGAAATAGTCTGTATCCTATCTACTGTATCCCGTCTTTTGTGTCCTATAAAATAGACTACTCCTAGTCTGTATCCTCATATTTTGCGATTTGCAACATCGCGCTATCCCCGTAAATCAGCTTATAAAACAACTGTAAAGTACATCCGCATCGTCAGTCTTGATTGTCGTTGCATGTAAAGCAAATAAACTGAGTTTTAGGCCCATTTTTACATAAGACGAAAGAACTGTTATTTAGCTTCCAGTCACAGTAATGCCAGTCACAGTTACATGCACAAAACATGCACAAACACTGTCCCCACCTCACAGGCAAACAAACAAAATTTATCGTTTGGTGTTTACATCTTTAATATTTTCTTTGTTTTCAACTGTGTGGATATATTGTTCAGTTGCTCAATACGTGCAACGCATTATATGCTAATTATATTCTATAATCTTGTTTCAATTGTCTGTCCATTATTTACTACAAAATAATACTCTAAGGGGCGGACCATTAGAAATCCTGGGAGGAGGGGTACAAAAAATTTTGGGCATGAATCTTTTTCAGCCTATTTGTCTTTGCATGATTTTTTCAACGTTCAACCTCCGCAAGAATTTTTTTCAAAACATGCTTTAACTCCTTTGTTTATTATCGTTATCTGTATAATATTGCTATTAATAAAGAATGTTTTTGTGTATAAAGTTTTTGAAAATTTGGAGTCATTCCCGGTCATTTTTTTTTTTTTTTTTTGGGGGGGGGGGGTTGATTTCTAAATGTTCTGCCCCTAATGAAGACGCGAGCTTACGAATAAAAAGCTTTGCTAAATATAGTGCTTTCCAAAATATAAACCTCTTTAAGTATGACAATCGCATGAGTTCATTTTACAATATGTACAATAAGACTGTAGTGCGGGCAGTTCACGGAGAAAAAAGGAAACACCACATCAGCATTCACATGAAGCGCCTTGCGTCGCAAACTGAACTTCGACGTAGCAACCAAACCTTTTCTTGCAGGAAAAGCTGACAAGGATTTTTTCTCCATGTCAAGATTCAACAAGACATTGGTAATCTTTTTCGCCGGTCCAGAGTAAACCCATTTCTTCGTAATTTCGTCCTCGATAGTGGCTTCGGAATAATCTTCGTCAACTTCGATGACACCAACTTCAAATGTTGGGCCCTCTGGATCTTGGAAACACTCTTCTGCGTCTTGTACTGCATGGCTGACTTCGACTTTCCAGTGATGTACTCCTGAAATCGAGAGTTCCTAGTTAAATATTAGTTAAGCCTAAAATGCGCGACAAGTTTGATTGGTTATAAATTGCGCAAAAAAATTAATCTTTAACTACCTTTTTAAACCAATCCGACCCAGGATGGCAAGTGCCCTCCCCCCGAGAAAATTTAACTTTTTTAACGATTTTTAAAATGTTACTACTTATTCTTTTTGTTATTTGGGCAGTTATTTAATCGATGACCAATACCGGCGATTCGAATCAAACGGAATACTGTACGGAATGTACTGTACGGAATTTCCAATACTGTACGAAACGTACAACTTTCAGAAGCTGAGCGAAACAACATCTTTCCGTTTCAATAATTTATACACATACTCCGTTTCCAAAGCGTACGGGTAGGTGTTTTTTCGCGTCCTTACGCAAAGTTATCCGCTACAGTGTGAACGACGTAGCCATAGACATAGTGTCAATGATTCTGAATTTCACCACAATTTGCTAATCAAAAGAGTTGATCAAAAGTTGCATGCAAACTTTCGCTTGTCAACTCTCATAAACTCCCGCCGTTTACCCGGACTTTGCATACCTAAAATGTTGATAATATTTCAAAAGATGGAATGTATAAACTATATCCCTAACATTTTCACAATACCTGACTTCATAGGTGTATCCCCCAATCATCATGACCGTCTGTCCATTCATTCGTAAATACCCGCTGTCATGAGCAGACTGCAGATAACACATCAAGAAACGAAATACGCGTTGCCCACACAACGCAAAATTCCCATTGGTCGAAATTGATGTGCCTGTCAATCAAATCTGATATGTAGTAATTACGTTATAAATAATTTCCAGACTGAATGTTCATTTTATAAATAAACATGGCATTAACGGTTCCTATTGGATAGATTTAATTGGATATAGATTTAATTGGATATGTCCACATAGGATGCATCTTTTGGTATCATTGAACACAATTTAAACTCTGATATAAAACAACTACAAAACTAATTACAAACAAGTCGACTTCGAATACAAATAAAACTGGAGTATATCTTGATAAGTTATACACATTACTTGGGTAATATTCACTGAAATAAGTTTTTACTAAGATATATGTTTAATTCTTTTTATATTCACAAAATCCCAGTTTATGATATCTGTCAAAACAGAAGATTGTTGACTTGAGTCAATGTAACTTTTCTTAACTTTGCATATCGCTCAACGGATCAGTTAAGGCAGTCAAGATCCTGTTCAATGATCCTGTTCTAAGCAGAGAAGCAAAAACGTTTATATACTTAAATAAAGGTGATGCTTTCGTACACTGCAACGGCAAGTGGTCCGCTTGGATGACTTTTCATATTCATTTCCCACGAATATTGCCATGGATCTCGCTTACGGAAAAACACTGAATTCTCCAGTTCACCTGTTTCAGAGTAACCGAGCAAGAACCAGGAATTTTGTTCCCCGACATAGGTTAAAACAATTATTTTACAAGTGCCATGATGAAATGCCACTCGCACGACTTGATGACCTTCTGGTACTTTTAATGTGGATTTTAAGTTACCTTCTGTTGAGTATATTTGAACAGCACTGCGATCATATGATATTATCATGATGTCAATGTTGTTAAAAATACTCAAGCTATTGCATATGTAACCTTCATCTAGTTTAAACTGAAATTTTAACTTTCCCGTGGTTTCACAGATATATACCTGGTTATTCAGTGAGAGCATGATTAGGTTTTGGTTTTTGTCAACAGCAATGTCCACACATAGCAATTGTCTTGCATTAGGAAAATCCAATACGGAGACATGCTTGATATTGTAATTGTCGTCAAAAGCGTACAGCACAAAATCTTTCTTATCACTGCCATTTTTATCACATGCCGTAAGCTGTCTTACAGCGTATACATTGTCATTGCTATCAACAGCAACATGCATTCTCGATTGTTCAACAACGTTACTGCAGTCTAAGGGATCGGGAAGCATAAAATCCTTGCTTTCACCTGTGCTGTAAATAACAGTGATTTTGTCATCATCTTGTATAATAATTTCACCACGGCTATTCACAGCAAACGTAGCCCACTTTATTCTCGAATCAACAACCACTCGGTTCAGTTGCTGGACAAATTCTTCACTACTGAACGTCTTTGTCACAATCTCGCGTGCGTGTAGGATTGGATGAAATGTACGATCCTTCAACTCTATTCCAGGCCAGGTAAATAGGTAGTGTGATTTACTGGTATACTTGGAAGCGAAATCATATAAAGCATGATTGATGAACAAAACAGACATTATGTTTTCAAAACGTTCAGTTTTCTTCAACATTGATTTCAGACCTCCCTTGAGAAAAACTGCGAACATTTCTTGGATTGCCGATAAACCATGTAACTCTTTAAGTGACAACAAGCTGGCAGTAGTTGCGGCTTCCGGGTCTTCAAGACCTGATTCAAGAATTCTGGCTGCTATACGCAGCTTGCAAGCCATAATTCGATCTTTGATGCTCAGAGATTTGTTGTTGAAAGCATGTGTGGCTGCCTCGCGAGATGCTTTGAAACAATCTTGAGCAGAAACAAAGCGCTTATCGGAGGAGATTTTTAATTTTCGAATCTCTTGAGGAAGTGATAAGGCTGCGTTCAAAATACCAGATGCGGTATCATTCATAACTCTTGTTGCTTCGTCTGTTCGACCCTCGCTCGCTTTCTGATCTTCATTCCACTGATCAATGGCAAGATTTAATAACTCAACACCTTCTTTTAGGAAACTATAACTGCTATCTAGATCTTTCAACGAGAGACAGTCGAGTTTTGACTTGATGTCGTTCAAATCTCGAACGATTATTTGACGCAATTTTTCATTCGCTGAATCTCCGTCCTTGAGTTTATTTGTTAAATGGTCGTAAACTTTGCCAGCCACTAAGCCCACTGTAGAGGATAGAATATCTATGCCGGCAGAAATCAATGCTTTTTCGAGAGCCATATTGCAAACTGTTTATATGGAAGTTGGCAGTTTCGCTTGTAGGAATGCATTCGTGTGAAAGATTTCTTTGAGCAAGCAGCAATCAAATTTAAAACTAATTGAAATTCCATGTAGTTCTAATACAAAGGCTGAATTGAAAAGAAGACAATTGAAGTTTAAACTATATTTAACATTTCAATGGCAATTTTTGGACACTTCACACTTGTTGTGTTATGAAACAGTGCACGTCAGCACAATTCATTCAAATTTAGAAATTCAGCAAAGTTGCAGTTTGTTTGATTTATACTAATTAAGTTGATTTTGGCTGCTAGAAAATACATAATATAAGAAATGATTTCTTGAATTCAATGGATGCAGTCGATTGAAGGCCTTTCTTTGAAAAAGGTATAATAATCACTTAAATTATTACTGAAAATTTGAGATTAAGGGAAGGGTGCAGGAATTGTATTTTAGGGCCTGTTTACATGGAGGTAGGGTGACCCTATCAGGAGGGTTACCCTAGCAAGCGGGTCAGAAAATGGCGAGCGTTTACATGAGGTAGGGTGACCCTACTGCTAGGGCTATGTTGCCCGATAGGGTAACCCTACCTATGCGTGGTCGGTAAGACGTCTGCATTAGATAAATTGCGCCGAAACGCAAAGTTTTAGCGGCAAGTTGTGTAATGCTATTTATTGTGGCTTTGCTTGCTGCATTTCAATGTTGTGGTCTGTTATTTCAATGCCTTATGTCGTGGTCTGTTATTTCAATGTGGTCTGTTATTTCAGTGGAATCGCATTGCGCAATGTATTCCTTGATATAGTCCAACACAACAGTTTTTCGACATGTTCGGCTGACCAAGAGCGTTTATTTTGTTTTTTGACGTCGATGAGGATGCGCCGGAATTTTGCTTCCTTTTCTCCGTCTTTGACTTTGATATCGAAACTACATCATTCACAGCGTTATTTATAAGTAATAGCATGGCTTGAGGGAGATTAGTGATTAAATGGCCCCGTAACCCGAGGCAGGTTTGCGGAATTCCCGAGGGCGAAGCCCGAGGGAATTCCGCAAACCTGCCGAGGGTAAGGGGTCATTTAATCACTAATCTCCCGAAAAGCCATGCTATTAGTTTGGAATAGCATAGTTTCGCTCCCATTTAAAAATGGACAAACATGCCCTACTTGGAATCAGCGTATTTAAGCTAAAACATTTGCTTCATTGCTTGTGGGATGTAAAAGCTTGTTGCACATGCGCACTTTTTACGCTTTAATCGGTTACGCATGCGCAATCTATCATTTAACGTACCACAACAAACACGCTAAATATATTAGTATAAATTTGGAGACTGCACGTGCGTAATTTAAATGATGCGGCAACTCAGGGATCGGATGATAGACTATTGACGGCTCTGAGCTAACTGTTGCTGTTCCTTGCACGATTATGTGCGTGAGGCACTTGCCTAATGCGTAGTCGTCAGGGAGACAAAGGTGTGACCCTTGGTAACGGGCGATTAGTTCTAATCGCCCGCTCTAGCGGGCGATTAGAACTAATCGCCCGCTACAGCGGGCGATACGTGATTAAACGTCCCTGTTGAAACAAAAGAAACCCGGGCAACTATGCTATTACGTCAGTTATCAGTGGCGTAACGAGGAAGAGGGGGCCCTTATGCATATTTGGTGTGGGGGCCCCTGTTGACTTTTGTCATTGTTTGACTGATATATTATATTTTTTATTGAATATTTATAGAATGTTCTGGAAAATGTCATGTCTATATATAACAATAACAATATAACAGTCTCCAACACATGTAACAACTATAATAAGAATAAGCTACCGTTGTCGATGGAGGTTTAATACTTCAACATTATTAATTTTGCATTTTCCCATTGATTCTTAACCTGCATTTTTTACGTCTTCCAATTTCCCAGTATCAGTTATCGACATTTCATTGGATGTACTATACATAAGCCACACTACAAAATAATTCGTGTCAAATGACTGTATTGTTTTTATTGTTTACAAGTTTTGAGAAACATCTTCACCCAGATTAACTAAGTTGTTATCAAGAAACTCATCTTTTGCCTTAACATTGTGGCTTCATCAGGTTAATGTGTGATTTAATTTAATCTAACCATGTCATGCATGATATTTTGAGTCATACATGAGCCATTTAAAGATCGTTGAAGGTCTTTTAATGGGGGAGGGGGCCGTACGGAACTTAAAACTTGATAAGCGTAGGGGGCCCAATTCTAAGTGCCGTGGGTGGCCATCATGGTTGGCGCAGGACGGGAAAACGTGAGCATCGACCGTCAGAAATGGCATTTCCAGAGTCCGCTTCTCCACCTCATTCGTTAGGCCCTTTCGTTCATTCTTTCATTATTTGTGTGTCTAGTATATGCGCCCATCCTCCCCTGCTTCTTACGCCCCCAGATGTATTGTGTGCACAATTAAAGGAACGCTTAAAATTTTTAAACTTTTATATAATAGTTTTTACTAATTTCTCACTTATTATAATAGCAGTTTCTGTATCATATTTTTACTAGAAATAAATACATACACTACCGAAACCCCTCGCTTTGCTAAGCAAAACAAACAGTTGTTGTATTATGAAGTATTTGAAGTAGTTGTCATGGTCACACGATCATGTTATTCAAAATTGAAAAAAGAAATACAAAAAATATACATATTAGGTATGTTATATTATGCTAATATAAGCTTCAATTTAATGTGAAATTCAACCACAAACGCTTCGCAACTAAACTGCATTTTATTTTTATCAAAAAACTTTGTGGGTTTGAAATAAAATGGTTTCAAATTATGCAATTCCCATAAATAACTTTGCTCTCCTCTTTTATATTTAAAGATTTTTAATAAGTCCAAAATAATGAAAACGGTATAAATTTATTAATATACATGCATGTCGTTATTTCTAGATCATTTGTGTCATTGTGAAAGAAAGAACGGCGGCTTAACTCAATTTCATTGCTCAATTTAATGCCATTGTCTGCCGTATAATTTGAGTGGTACGAACAATAAAAGCATAGGCATAGCTATGATCCATTGAACTTTGCCTTGCTTTAATCTTTTTACTTTGGAGTGTGTTTCGCTAATTTAAAAATAGATAAATAATTACGTCATTGAACAGACAAAGTCACGTGACAGAAAAGAGCGGGAAATAAACACGTTGGTTTTAAGCTGTTTACTCGAGGTTTAACGTTCAGAAATAGGTTTATATTTGGTGTATTGTAAAGTGATATAGGCCAAAGAAGTAAGTTCATGTTGTTTATCATAACTAATTTACTTTATTCAGTAGATAATTCTTGTATTTATACTTTTAGATCGAATATTATAACTACTACAACTGATTATTATACGATATTTGGAAATTATTTGTGGTCACTTTACATTCCGTTTCTGATTCTGGCGAGCCATAAATTCGATTTCTAGCTGACCAGGGCTTAAAGGATATTCAGAAAATGACGGAGGTAACGAAGGAAGCGTTAAACGAAGCGAAAAAGAAGCGGAGATGTGCAAAATCGAGTGTTACAAGGGCAGGAAATGGCTTGGATTATTTATTGAAAAATGAGAGACCTATACCGGAAGTTGAGGAATCACTCGCTAATTTGGAAGATTTATACAAGAAATTGGTTGAAAAACACGACGAATACATTCAGTTGGTGGATGGCGATGAAGAATTTGCAACTGAGGAAGAATGGATTGAAGATTGTCAACAGAGGTTTATGCAGATAAGGATCAGAACAAAGGATTATTTAAAGGTCAAGTCACAAGGTCAGTTTGAAAATGAAACAAACCCAGAAACAGGTTTAGTGCCCAATCAAACCGAGACAACTGTTAGTGACAATGGGCAGCAAGAGCATGACGGTATCCCTGGGTCTGGTCAAGGCCCATCCCACCAAGGTGAAAGTCCATCCCACCAAGGTCAACCCCCAACCCACGAAGGTCAACCCCCAACCCACCAAGGTCAACCCCCATCCCACCAAGGTCAACCCCCATCCCACCAAGGTCAACCCCCATCCCACCAAGGTCAACCCCCATCCCACCAAGGTCAACCCCCATCCCACCAAGGTCAACCCCCAACCCACCAAGGTCAAGAACACAATAGTTCAAGTGAGGGTGCCCAAAGTATTTCAAATGTTCAACCTGTTTGTGGTTTCAAAATGGAGAAGCCAAAAATGCCTCGATTTAGTGGTGATGTCAGAGAGTACAGTATTTTTCGAGATGACTTTAAGCATGCTATTGAATCTAGATACACTAAACGAGATGCAATGACGTACCTTCGTGCATGCTTGCAGGGAAAACCCCTAGAGCTTATCAAAGGAATTGGTACAGATTATGATGGTGCATGGCAATATTTAGACTCAATCTATGGAGACCCCAGATATGTGTCGGACCAAGTAACCCAAGATCTGTCAAAGTTCCGACCCCTGAAAGAAGGAGAAGATTCACGCTTTTGTAATCTGGTGCATTTAGTAAAGCGTAGTTTCAATACGATGAAGGGAGTGGGAAAACCCCATGATATGGATAACAATCACATGTTATCACTAATAGAACAGAAAATGTGTGTGGAAGATAGAAAGATTTGGGCTCGTGAGTTGGAAAGGAATGAAAAGCCAGCAAACTTACAAGGTCTCATTGCTTGGATGGAGACGGAAATGAAGTCGAGGATGCGTGCAACTGCTCCACTGAGAAACCCGAGTCAGGGTTCGAGATATGTCAATCAGCTATCTGGAGGAAAACCACCAAAGTGTTGGATCTGCGACAATTTAACACACTGGGTAGACCAATGTGAAAAATTTAAGTCCATGAGTCCAGAGGAGCGTTTGAAAACAGTAAGAGAAAACCACGCTTGTTTCAGTTGTCTTAAGAAGGCCGGACGTGACCACAGAGCATCAAACTGTAGCAGAAGGAAGCAGTGTACTCAGAAAATAAGTGGCGTTCAATGTAAATATTATCATCATATTCTTTTGCATCCTTCAAATCCTGCAGCATCAGTGGGCGTAGCA